TTTAGAAATAGTTTCTTGTTCATTATTACTTGATCTTAATGTCTTTTAAACTGCTCTTATTTCATCTTACAGGTGGCCCCAGACTTTTTCGAGTATTTCCGTGCGCTCTACCCCATATTGAGTTCGGATCCGACTCTGTGGTGCATTTCCGCCTGGAATGATAACGGACGGGATGGGCTGATCAACCCGGGCGAGGCTGACCTCCTTTACCGGACAGATTTCTTTCCTGGCCTTGGATGGATGCTTTTGAAGGAAGTCTGGGCAGAGTTGGAGCCCAAGTGGCCCAAGGCATTCTGGGACGACTGGATGCGGCAACCCGAGCAGCGGAAGGATCGCTCGTGCATTCGTCCCGAGATCTCGAGGACTATAACTTTCGGCCGTAAAGGAGTCAGTTTAGGTCAATTTTTTGACCAGTATCTGCGCTACATAAAACTCAATACTGAATTTGTGCCTTTCACTAAACTGGACTTGTCCTACTTGGTCAAGGAGAAGTACGATAAGACTTTTGAAAAAGAAGTGTATAAAGCCCCTTTGGTGAAGGTGGAGGAACTACAACAAGGTGGAAGCCTGAAAGGTTCTGGGCCATTTCGAGTTCAGTACTCCAGTAGAGACAGCTTTAAAGTGCTGGCCCGCAACTTGGGAGTTATGGACGATTTGAAGTCAGGGGTTCCCCGTGCCGGTTACAGGGGCGTAGTCAGCTTCATATCCCGTGGACGAAGAATTTATCTGGGTCCCCCTGAGGGCTGGACTAAATATGACACCAGCTGGAGCTGAGAAGGATGAGGTTTGGACCACAAAAGACAAGAAATTGAAAACTCACAACTATTATTACAAGTGAAGGAGAGAAACGCCCTCTCAAACCAAAGAAAACAGAAGCAGGGTGTAAAACGTTGAGAAAAGCTAAGATGTGAGTATAAAATAACTGCTGTTTTGTCTTGGAAAAAACTTCCAGGGATGCTGGGAACAGCACAAAAGGTGGTGCATTGTATTTGCGCAGCAATCATGCAACAATCTTCCCTCAGAGAAAATAGTGGAGTTACGCTGCAAACAGCTCTTATGCAGAATCGCTTGTTATGATATGAAGAAAAATGATCACATTTTTTTATTATTACTTGATTTTAGTATTGTTTTGCTTCATCGATTAAGATCAATGCAAAAGGCATACAAGAGGTCTTATATTTTATCTTACCACAGTGTCTTTTGGGAGAATCTCACGATAACTCGCTTTTAACTCCAAAATCAAAAGAAAAGAATATTTTTATATTTGCATACATACAGAAGAATAATTAAGCCTGTGCTTGGGTCCATCCATTTTTTGGGGGGGTGGGGATTTAAAATAGTCACACAACCCCCACTTTGACATTAATTTAATGATTTGGAAAGTTTTACTATATACATATATATATATATACAGTAATACTGCATATTTTAAAATGGTAATATCTTTTTTTGCTTTAAGAAAAAACAACTCAATATCCAGATGTTTCTTGACAAATATATCGTGAGATTCAGCCTTTGAAAGACCAAATCTGAGTGTTAAAATTCCATTTGTCTAAGTTTTATTAGTCCCTGGCATAATTATAAATGAAAATTGTGTATAATTGTTGTCTAATTTGATTGATGCATTCATATAAATGCGCAGACTTGTTCATTTGACTTTATGTAGCACCATTGAAACTATGAAGTTCAAGCTTGTGGCAGAAATTATTCAAGGCTTGTGTAACTGACATACCAAATCTCTAGACGACATCTCTTCTGTGCCATTCTGTTGAAGTACTGTACTTGAACTTGTTTTTGTTTTAACTGCTCTTCCTGGCCTGGGAGAGCTCTTATTGTTTTTTTAAAGATGTTGTAGGTTTGTTGCAAAACCAGTGGTCATAGAAAATCGCTTTACACGTTCTTACGGATGAATGATCGGATTTTAGTTGGCCAGAGATGGAAACATTTTAATTAAATGTACTGTATTTAAATGTTTGGGAGAGAAATGATCTGATGTTAATACTAATACAGTATGAAGAAGTGTGAAACCACTGCCTGACATGTTTATAACTTTATTACATTGAGAATAAAACAGACTATTTTGATATTTGACCGTATATGCTGTTTTTGTTTCCTGTTTTATATCTTTATCTGTTGACTTCCTTCCAGGGATCATTTGTCCAAACCACCCACATCAGCATTGAATCAGGCGCTATTGTGACACCGGTGAAGTCTCTGTCGCTCCAGATTTCCTTTCTCATTCCTCTTGTGTCCTGTTGACTTCCTGTCTCATGGTTCTCTGCTGTTGACTTTACTATGTTCATTTCCTGTTCTTTACCACCAGCAACTTTAGAAATGCCAAAGGATGTGTATGTTACTGATAAGACGTATTGGGCATTCATTTTGTGTTTTAAAGGGATAGTTCACTTTGAAATTAATTTTTGATATGTTTTAGCTTACCTCAAGGGCATCCAAGATGTAGGTAAAATTAAACATGATTTAATGACTCGTGAATGCAAGTACACACTGATGTCCTAAGACACGAAACGAGTGGTTTGCGTGAGAAAACGAACAGTATTTATATAGTTTTTACCTCTTGTTAAACAGCCGTCGAACTGATCTGAATCAGATGTCCAACTGAACTGAACTAAACCGTCTCCAGATGTTACGCCGGAAGTGATCTCTCGCACGTCTACGTCACGCAATGTTTACACCGAGATTTTGGAAAATTTTACCTGAGCCCGTCTAACGGAGAGCCTTGGCACTTCCTATTAGCCCCATTGTGCATCACCTTGGTTGCAGTTCCATAAGAATTCCACTGGAGGTGATCGCGGGTGAGTGCAGAATGAATGGGAGTCTATGGGGCTAAACAGCTAAATGTGTCTCTTTCACCTCGTCTGCTTGTCGTTAAATCAAAATAGATTTTATTGTTGATTCCGCAAGTTCAATATAGATTATAGGCCAAAAGTCTGAACGAGTACTTATGTCCTTTTGATTTCTTACAGGTTAGGCTCAGGCTGTTGGCCGGAACATGCTAGCATTCTGCTATTGTGTGACATCACATTTTTGAACGGATTTTTAGAACATAAAAATGAACTTAAAAATGCAATTTTCAGCTGAGTGTATTTTCTTAGCCCTCCCTTTTGAAAGCAACTTTCAAATTACTTGACAAAAAATTACATCCTGAGAAAAGTGGATTTATGGTGGTGAAACCCCATTGACTCCCATTCATTCTGCACTCGACCGCGAGCGCCCCCGCATGGACAGAGACGCGTTACTGCAGCCAGTCCAGAACCCAGAAGTAACCAGCCAGCCAGTGCCAATTGGCTTTATGCACAGCTTCACTACTTCCTGAATTTCAGCCAGCTCCTTGTTTCCTGTCTGCCATTATTGGACACATTAATTAATTCAGGTGTGCTTGACCTCAGTAGTCATGGCAACAATAATCAGAAACACCTGAATTAATCAATTTTTTCCAATAATGGCAGACAGGAAACAAGGAGCTGGCTGAAGTTCAGGAAGTAGTGCAGCTGTGCATAAAGCCCATTCTCTTCAATTAGACATTCTTTGGTTCGGTTCAGTTGGACTTCTGATTCAGATAAGTTCGACGGCTGGTTATCAAGAGGTAAAAACGATATAAATACTGTTCGTCTTCTCACACAAACCAATGTGTACTTACATTCACGAGTCATTAAATCATGTTTCATTTTGACTTTTCTGTGCATGCTCTTTGAGGTGGACCCACATACCCTGCATATGACCGACAGACAACAACGGTTTGACCGAAAAATGTCAAAATTGAAAATACTGTGGAAACAAAGACGCCTACATCTTGGATGCCCTTGGGGTAAGCTAAAACTTAATTTCAAAGTGAACTATCCCTTTAATAGCCATTAATCTAACCTGAATCTACCATGATTGATTGATTTTGATAATATAGCTACATCAGCTCAGGTTCAATGAGTTTCAAAACTCATTAAAAGTAAATGAAAATACTTTGAAACTTCAATGTGTGTGTGTGTTCACACTTGACAACTGTTTCAAAGAGCTGATGTCAGACCTATTTCAAGCCACTCTGATGGTGGAAAAGGGAAAATGCCAATCTGGGAACACTTCTTAAAATTTTTACTTCAGAAAAGGTGGTTCTGGGACAATAAGCAGCCAGTTTCAAATCTTGCCAGACTGTTTTAGTTTTGAACTACAAAACTAGGTCGACTTATGAAATGCCATGCTGGAAAAGCCCGATGCGGTGAAGACAAGTTTTGTGGTTACACTTTATTTCGATTTTTTTTTTCTCGTTTTTTTTTGTGTTTGCACAGACAAGAGTGTATATGCGGGTGATTTGAAATGAATGCTTGAAAAACAGGCCACTGGATTGCATCTGTCCATATATGTTTGGTAACACTTTATTTCAATAGTCCACTTTAGACGTTCTACTAAATATAAGTAACTTTTCAACTACATGTCAAGTAACTCTCGTTAGAGCATTAGTATATTATAGTAGGCTATCAGTAGACAGTCAGGTTATGGTTAGGTGTTAGGCTTTGGGTTAGGATAATAAGTTTACTTGTAGTCGCCAAGTTACTTATTGTCAGTTGAATGTCTGTTGGGGGACCAACAAAATAAAGTGTTAGCAGATCTTAAGCTGACAGTCTACTAATACTCTAATGACAGTTAGTTGACATGTAGTTGAAAAGTGACTTATAGTTAGTAGAATGTCTAAAGTGGACTATTAAAAATAAAGTGTTACCAAACATATATGGACAGATGCAATCCAGTGGCCTGTTTTTCAAGCATTCATTTCAAATCACCCGCATATACACTCTTGTCTGTGCAAACACAAAAAAAAAAAACAATCAGGTGCACATGCATAGACATCAGTGGACTGTGCTGATGACAAATTACATTACACGAACAAGGGAAATTTGAGTGTTCAGGTATCAGCCAAAAGTTTTACGATCTGCTTTTGAGACGTGAGAAGTGTGAAAACGCAAATGTTTAAATAATTGAAAAACAGTGTCTGTAAATTAAACAAACATAGTTTATTTGGTTTAACCAGCATTGATAGTTAAACAAAGCGTCCGTTGGTCTGGCAATCGAACGAACACTGAATATATTTCATTAATACCTACTTTACTGGTAACAAGCATTCAGTATAACTGCTAATATCTTTAATAACTTTCAAATAATTTTACATCAATGCAAACTGTATGGTTCATTATAATCCAATGATAAACTCCTCACACAAAAAAAAACAAAAAATATGCCTCTTTATTATAAATAACTAAAACGGAATAAGGCAAACGGGAAATTATTCATATTGAGAGGAAAAATAATAAAATGTTAAATAATTTGTTTCCCTTTTCAACAAGCAAAAACAGAACTGACCTACTGAGGAGGAATTAAGAAACCCACCACATTTAGGATAACACTGTGATATGATCTGTTCAAGTATACACTAACACAATAAATCTATATGAAATAAAAACTCTCAGTTGCTACCAAATGCTACAATGCCATGCAACGCATCCTCCGAAAAAACTGCTGCCTGATGTGTCGTCTTCTTTATCGGGTTTGTTCAACTAGGAGAAATAGATGCACAAGGAGAAATCACGTAAGTGCTCATGACTGCACAAATAAAATAAAAAAACTTTTAAACCTTTTTTTACATTACAAAAAAATCTGGACAATTTCAAAATTCACCGTCATTAAAGAAATAGTTCACCCAAAATTTGAATTCTGTCATTATTTGGTCTCGCTCATCCAAATGTTCTCACTTTGTACCTAACTTAATTCACTTTCTTTATATGGAAAAGAGCAACCTAGAATTAACAAAATATCTTCTTTTGTGGATCACAGAGGGTGAATAAAACAAATCAATTTAGTGTTTTTGTGAATTAACCCTTTAAAACCAGCCTGTAAAGATGAAATATTAACACTCACTGTACGACGAGATGTCGATCTCCTCTGGAAGCTCGCTGATGTTCACCTCAAACCTGTCCTGAACATCGTTCAAAGTGCGCGCGTCAGACTCATCTGACACAAAGGTGATGGCCAGACCTTTGGTTCCAAACCTGCCGGCTCTAGCAACCTGAAGGAATGAGAAAAGTTAAAGCTAAATCCATTTACAGCCCATTATGTGGCTTTGTTTGACATAAGCCAATGTCACATGAACTGAACCGACCCTATGCAGGTACGTGTCCGAATCTTCAGGCATGTCGTAGTTGAACGCAATGTTGACCCTTTCGATGTCCATACCTCGGCCAAACAGGTTTGTGGCCACCAGGATTCGTCTCTGGAAATCCTTAAATTGCTGATATCGAGCTAGTCTGGGATAATAATCAGACTCAGATGTGACACGAGTCCCCAAAAATCCTACCATCTCAAGTATAACATTATATTGTGATAATTTTTCTACCTTTCATCTTGAAGCATCGCTCTATGAATGGCAATGGCAGGGAAATTTTGCTCCACCAGCAACTGAGCAAGAGCGATACAACGCTGCACCGATTTAACGAAGATCACCACCTGCAATACTAAGCAGCTGTAACACTGTACCAACCAAGTTTCATCATTAAAATTACAATACAACAAATTTTAATGGACAAATCCACCCATTCACTTTTTTTAAAGCTTAGGTTCAAAAAAATCAAAAACATTGTCATCCAGCAATCCAAAAAAAAAAAAAAAAAAAAAGATGAAGCTATTAATATTGTCTATATTAAGTATAAGAAAGTAATAGTGAATCTATAGGCCTAAATATATAATTCAGTTAATAAAACATGACAGTAACAACTCTTTTAATGTCACAAACGCTTAATATTTCAAATAAATGCTGTTCTTTTGAACTTTCATCAAAGAATCCTATATATTATTATTTTTTAAATCAAATTGAAACCATGAACTTTAATGTTTAATAATATTTCATTATAAAAATGCAGCCTTAATGAGCATTATAGACTTTAAAAACATTAAAACATGTTATCAACCCCAAACTATATATAAAGAGTTCAGATGCAAAAGCCTCTAAATGCCATTTAAAATTTTCTTCTTTAATGATGATTTTTATCAAACTTGTATATTTAAGTTCAGTAATTTCAGTTAAATAACAATTAATAGATAATTATCATTGCCATTTAAGAGAAATCACTGAACTTAAATATACAAGCTTGATAAAAATGATCATTCTAGAAGAAAATTTCAAATGGCATTTAGAGGCTTTTGCATCTGAACTCTTCATATAATAAATACATTGCAAATAATCATGTTATTTCTAGGTTTAAAATAAAATCCCACATTTTCATTGTAGTTTTGACCAATCTTTTATCCTTACAAAAGTTTACTTCAATGGTTCCAATCCAGAGTGTAGTTTGCATTTAAGTTGTTTTAACTAAACCTGTATTCAAATGGTATTTTGCATTACAGCCTGTGAACGACTAGAGTGCAACGTTTATTAGACGGTGGAAAATTTTGGTTTGAATAGTTTTGCAAACTTTAGCGGTTAACCCTGGTATTGTTTGAGTCACTCTAGATTTGAATGGATTAAAGGGTTAGTTCACCCAAAAATGAAAATTAAGTCATTAATTACTCACCCCCATGCTGTACCAACCCCGTAAGACCTTCGTTCGTCTTCAGAACACAAATGAAGATATTTTTGATTAAATTTGAGAGGTGGATCACTGCTACAGACTCGAATCTTGACGGCCCAGAAAGTCATTGAAGAAAATGTTTAAATATTCTATGTGACAACAGTGGCTCAACGATAAGCTTATCAAGTGACGAGAATACTTTTTGTGTGAAAAATCAAACAAAATAACGACTTTATTCGACTATTCGAATAAAGTCGTTATTTATTCGACTATTCTTTATTCGACGAACGAAGGTCTTACGGGGTTGGAACAGCATGGGGGTGAGTAATTAATGACTTAATTTTCCTTTTTGGGTGAACTAACCCTTTAAACGTGGGATCTTGACTTTTGTGTGTGTCTTGGTGGAGTCTTGAGGTACCTGGTTGAACTCCAACACATCCAAGAGGTCAAAGAGCTTCCTGTTCTTCTCGTTGTCCTTCAGTTTGACGTAGTACTGCTGGAGGCCGTGAAGCGTCAGCTTGGTCTCGTCGTCCACAAAAATTTCCATCGGCTAGGACAACCAGTGGAAGCAGGGGGAGGTGAGGAGGGGTGGGAGGAGCGTGCAGGTTCAGGGGGTTAAGATTGTGTGAAGACACACACAGGAAAGTTGACGAGACGTGGGAGGTGCAGATCATAGTGTTACAAGGGTGTGAAAGAGGAAGTGGTTGTGATGACAGAGTGACGGCATGGGTGGAATGGGTGTCGATGTGGACAGGGAAAGAAAGACACCAGAACACAAAGGAAAACAAGGACAAAAGAGGTATAAAGATTTTAGAAAACGACAATGTGAAGGAGAACATGGTGTTAGAAAGGAGAGAGTTATGAAACAGCAGGAGAAAGGGAAGGAAGAGAAGGGATGGAGGTTAGACTCACCCTCCCCTCCCATCCCAAGCCAATGAGGAGGCAACACACACACACACACACAGTCTCAAACACGTTGATAAATGCTACCCTGCTGACCTAGACTATATTTAGCTCACATTTTCAAGCCTAAAATCATATCTGTGCAATTTCTAAATAAACGTTCAAAAACTACAGATCTTTTGAGAAACACAAAGTAAAACTAAAAATGTATGTGCAGTTTGGAAATGACATGAAGTTTTAAGTAGTATAAAGTCAACATGAAATCAAAACTGACCCTTATTTGCTTTCCAAATACACATTCCTGCTCTTAATGTGGTTGATTGTATGTCTTAATGTGGATCTTTTTATGAATGTTTTCCATGTGTTTTATGAATCACGTGCATGCGTTTCATTATTTTTGACCTTTTTTTAAATTATATAAACACAATTTTAATTAAAATATAGATTTTTTTTCCCATTGGATGGAGGCAGATCCAATCAAAAAATAATGCATAGATATCCTCAGCTTACTTTTTTTTTTTTTTTGATAATCTGTTTTACTCAGATGTGCATCACAATACGAAACATCAACCACTACTTGGTTTATGTTAAAAATAACCAAACAGATATTGAGTCATTAAGGCTGTGTTCATACTGTCAGTCCAAATCCTGATTAACCTGATTAAAGGCTATTTTCACAGTCAGTTCAAATCCAATTATTATTAATAGGACTTCAAACCACATTGCTCGAAACAGATTTGTAAAAATCGCATTTCATGTGGATTTTTTTTTTTTTGGGCCGTTCACACAAGCTAATTATAATCAGATTCCAACCAGATATGCACACAAATTGGTATTTGGACGGAAAGTCTAAATAAGGCCAACTGTAGTCTAAATAACATGTATATGCTAGATGAAACCGTTCTACAATCAAATTATCTAAGTTCCAATTCCACATTTTCAGTTGTTGACAGTATTGACGTAACTTTTAAAAAAATATGAATAATTGCTTTTGTTAAAGTGTATTTAAAGCTGCAGTCCGTTTCATTTCATGTTAACTTTAAACACTCATCAACATCCTAACATTGTTACTGCAACACTATGTAACATTTAGCAGTGGGAAATCAATTCAGAAGGCCAAATTCATTCATTAAATTAAATGTACAGAGAACATCCTCAATCTGATCTATCTGTGCAGGTGGGACACGTTTTAGGATCTGGTCCACTAATATAAGGGTTGTGGGAAGAATAACAAATAGTGGTGGCCAAGTAAAAGTTACTGAGTTCATAATTATTTTCTATCACTATTAGGCCCTTAACAAAAGCACTATACTGCACCTTTATTAGTGTCTAACACACATCTTTCCACTTACCTTAGATGTTAAAGCAAACCTGTCAATCAATCCTCCTGGTCAGTCTAAAGTTTATTTTACTATATTGTCTTTAACCTAATAAAGCTATCAAAGTGGATTAGGCTGCATCTGAATATGCATAATATTTATGTATAGTAACTCCCACTAAATGAGTATGTTTGAATCAGTTTTGAGAGTCATTATTTTAAATTATCTTACGGTGCAACATGAGCCACGTCACTTAGACCCCTCAAGTCATTCAGATTTTTTTAATAGGTGAAAAGTTGTGTTTTACTATTCATGGTTTCTGTTTGAGTCCCGGCTTTCAGTTGCTCTTTGCCACCTAACCGTCTCTATCTACACCCGCGCATATCTCCTCTCTCCACTAAGTTTCTTCATCATCTCAACCCTCTCGATCCAGTCTTCCGCAGCTTAATCCTCCCTTTCTCTCTCTTGTCTTGTCCCTCACACCCGCGCAAGCTTTCTTCTCCGTTTCGGGCCAGTTTTATTGCCTCGATTTTAACTTGGAAACTTTCTTTTTTCTTTGGGGCAGATGAGGCCTGTCAGCTGGATTGATGAAGAGATGTTCCATCATTGGCTGGTCCACCTGAACTCATTAATGCCACCAATAGTTTCGCTTTATTCCCCAGAGGATTTCATTATGCTGTTTGCTTTGTTAAAGAGTAATTAATTGCAGCCCTGGAGTGCCACTTTGTCGTGAATCTAATGTAGTTTTTAGCAGCTGGCTTGCTTTGTTAGACCGACACTTTATCGGTTTAAGTTTTGTGCCCCTTGAGAGTGTCTGGCAGCTGGCAACAGAATTTTTGAAGCTCCAACAAGTGCTTCTTTTAATTAAAGGTTACTTGAGGACAAATCTCCAGGCTGGAATTACAGTCAAGCAGGAACTAAAGCAATTTGTCTTGATGCATTGATACAGAGAGTGGAGTATTATTTTAATGAGGGATTTTTTTAGAGTTGTGCCTGTTTTTCATAATTAACTCCCTAAATGATATTTATAAACATGTGTTTATGCTTTGATTTATGGCCCTATTTGAAGATACACTACATCCTTCCCTTAAAGACATCCTCTTATTGTGTTTAAAATATATTAAATGGACTCTTCATGACTTTAGCAAAGGTTGTTAAAGGATCTGTTTAAATTTACAGAGGATTGAGCCTGATGGATGGTGCAATATCTGTTGGCCAAACAGACGGGTGACCGTGTTTGCCAAATGCCGACACAGCACTGCCAGCTGAGGTGAGGATTAAGGACTTAACATCTTTTTTGCTGTGCCTAGTCTGTGATTATCAAACGGGCAGGAAAGTGGGGCATTTAGTGTTACGATGTGTCAGGGAGGTCGTAAATGGATCTCTTTCAGGTGTATATGAGGTGGTCTTGTGAAGGGAAGGAGCTGTTGACATGGTAGAAGTAGGAGAGGCGTAATTACATCTTGCATGAACTTTCTACAGATGGGACGGATCTCTTTACTCAGGGTAGCACTGAACATCATGACTTGCTTCTCGTGAGGGGTCATGCGAAAGATTTCCTGGACATCCCGCCGCATGTCTGCAGGAGACAGTAGAAGATAAATGCATTTACAGTGCTGGTCAGAATTATTTGCCAATTATTATTTGACCATTTGACCATCCCGTTTGAAGTTCCAGCAGTCTCAGTTACTTTTCAAACGGTCTATGGACATATGAAACAAATAAAAAAAAGCTAATAAAGATAAAATCAGATTTTCTCCAGTCATTGTTAAAAACAAACTGACGTTAGGGAAGTGGCCAGTGGGATCGTTCTGCCTCCACCTAAGCTCCACCCACAAAAAAAGTTACCGTAGGGATGGGTAACGATTAATCGCGATTAATCGCATCCAAAATAAAAGTTTGTTTACATAATATATGTGTGTGTAGTGTGTATAATTAGTTTGTATATATAAATACCCATGCATGTATATATTTTATATATATTTATTCACAATTAATATTATATATAAATATGAATATTTTATATATTAATAACAATTTTTTCTTAAATATATACATGCATGTGTGGGTATTTATTTATGGTATTTATATATACATATTAATTATACACACTACACACACATGTTATGTAAACACAAACTTTTATTTTGGATGCGATTAATCGCGATTAATCATTGCCCATCCCTAACAACTGAAAAGGGGTCTATTAAGACAACGTCTGAATTTTTGGATAAAGAAAAGTAGGCAGTACACGGTAAACTGCACACTATTCCATTCCAACACATCCATAGTTCAAAAAGAGATTGCTCACCAAGTTGCTCCAGCATCTTGTCGCATTCATCAAGGATGAAGTGCTTGATGTGTCGCAGGTTGAGACTCTTGTTGCGAGACAGAGCTAAAATACGTCCAGGAGTTCCCACCACCACATGAGGGCTCTCTCTCTTCAGCACCTCCTCATCCTTCTTTATAGATAAACCCCCAAAGAACACTGCCACCTGGGGGAGAGAGACAGCGTAAGCAAACGCATGAGAGAAAAGTTTGACTTTAAAATGAAACTCCTGAATTTACAGTGACGTGGCAAACAATACGGGTAAGTGTATAGAAAAGTAACTATTATTAATATATTTGAAATGGCTGTTGTGAAAATGTGTTTAATAACATATCTTTTACAATGGAAAAATATTTCATTTCCACCATTTTAAGGGATGCTCCACAGTAGCAAGGCTGTGTTATTTTTGTATCATTATATATGAGGAATTTGGTAGACATTTTTGGTGCTGTATGCAAAAATATATTTTGTAAAATTTGATGGTTGTGTTAAATATTTTGACAGTACTACATTAAGTTCAGATAATTATGTCAAATTGATTGACATATGCATTCTGCATATCAGGTAGGAATCAGTTGTCTACATTAATGGTGTGTTGAAAACGTTTTAAAATTGAATGTTGAAAAGAACAAAGAGAAGACCAATGAGTTGATTATTGGATTTAGGAGAATTTCAGTTTTATAAATATCTTGGTGTCCATTTGGACAGTAAATTAAACTGGAAGTGAGAACAGTGAGGTTGTGTTCAAGAAGGCACAGTCAGGATTATTCTTTTTAAGAATCATGAGTACTTTTGGTATTAGTAGGAAGCTTCTTCGTGTCTTTTATCGGGTAATCCTGGCCAGTGTTTTGTTTTATGCAGTGCTTTGTTGAGGAGGTAGTTTTACTATGGATGACAAGGTTCGGTTATTGGTTTTACTTCAGATTCACTTGAGGTCTCGATGGCAAAAGAGAACAAGGGCAAAATTAAAAATGATTTTGACTTATGAAGGTCATCCCGTATTTAATACTTTTGGTGAACCTAAAAGTTAATTTATTGAGACATTAGGAATGCCTCTGTGTTTTACTGAGCGATTTATAAGGTCTTTAATTCCTGTTGCAGTGAGGGTTTTTTTTAATGAAGCTGTGTAATTATTCTATGGATTTATTGTGCTGTAATGTTTAATTGCTTGTGCTGTTTTTGACGTGTAATGGTGGCAAATGAGTTTCCCATCAAGGGGATTAATAAAGATTTCTAACCTAATGATGTAATTATTTAGGTTTGGTTCCAAAACTTGTGTTGAATAATGAAATTCATCAGATTTTTATAGAAAGTGTTTGAAATTGCTATATATCAAAATTAGTCATTCTAAAACAAATATGAAAGGGGTTCAAATAGAACATCTTCCTACCTTGACACTCGGCATGTATTTGGAGAAGCGCTCATACTCTTTGCTGATCTGGAACGCCAGTTCTCGAGTATGACACATCACCAACACTGATACCTGGGTGAGAACAATTACTGGTCAAGTCAACAACACATAAAGCACACTTTATGTCTTAGTTCTTTGTTTTCAGAGCATTTTACCTGACCGGTCACTGGCTCCAGCTGCTGAAGGGTGGCCAACACAAAGACAGCCGTCTTCCCCATTCCAGACTTGGCCTGACACAATACGTCCATCCCCAAGATCGCCTGAGGAATGCATTCATGCTGAACTGAAAGAGGAAAAACACAAATATATTCATACTAAACTTAAACTGATATCAAATGACCTTATATGAGCACATGTAGAATTGCTCACCCTCAGATGGATGCTCAAAGCCACAGTCTACTATAGCTCTCAGGAGTTCTGGTTTGAGAAGGAAATCCCTGAATCCTGAGGAGTGGATGGACACGTATGACCCTTTGACCCCTTCTTTCCTGATGGATATGACACTGTCGCTGTGTCCAAGCCCTGTATCTCCAGCAACGCCATCAACTTCATCCTCCTCATAGTCTAACAGCTCATTATCAACGTCGTTCTCCGTCATCTTGCAGAGAGACAGGAATAAAACGGTAAATGCAAAAATATAATCAAACTGCCTCTTCCTGTCAATCATTATTATGTATGATATTATCTGCTGCTATTTTGTGTGTGTATTATTTAACACAATTGTCGTTTTATGTGTGTCTGTGCTTATATATTTTTTTTTTTATATACTATAATGATACTTATAATTCTATTTGATAACATCATAACATGATCATAAATAACATTGGAATCAGAAATGTATGTCTGTATTATTTTATTCGATTTGATAACATATACAGACTCAGCTTATACAGCTTAAAACTATTGCTAGATATTACAATTTATTAAAAGTTGTTGTTTTATATTAAGTAATATGCATGTAATTAAGGGGACAGGTCGCTTTAAACTAAGAAACTATCGCCTGGTTTTACAGACAGGGTTTAGATTAAACCAGGATTAGACTTTAGTTCAATTAGGACATTTAATGGGCTTTTATAAACCTGCCTTAGAAAATACTGGTATGCATCTTGAGACAAAACAATACACTGACATATTTTAAGATATGTCAATGCAAGTTTTTTTTTTCTTTTCTTTTTTTCAGTTAAACAGCTCAATAATGCATTTTAGTCTGGAAATTGTCTGTGAAATCGAAGGAAAATTAGCTTATCCGTTTAGCCCAAGATATCCAACGCGCCAAATCATACACTAGTATGACACAACATTCCTGTGTGTTTTCTAACGGAATATAAAGGCTATTATCACTTCCTGTGTTGATTTTTAATTTTATTTTAATGAAATAATAGCAGTTACCTCGAAATGCTGTATGAAGCAGTTGGATTTTTCACTACACCTGCTGCTGCCTGCTGGATACGTTCGCAACGTCATCAAAAAGCGACGAATTGCGTGTTTTGATGAAGGACCCAACATGTGAAACTGCCTTGAGACGTTTCAGTTTTTAGCGAAGAAATCGTGTTATTGTTATTATTAAAACTAGAGTAGGTATTGCAGCACTCTCCCCCCTGGCAAAACTTTAAAACTATTGTATTCGAACTTTGATAAGTAAGTTCTGATTATGTGGACACGTGTAGTTAACCAGAAGCCCTGGTTTTGAACGCTGTGAATGTGGTGTGTAAAATAAATCTCTGTAATTATTTTTTTTCCTAGCAATGTCATGTTTTAAAGGTGACCTCGACTTTTGCCCTGAATGTGGAAACATTCTCCCAGTGCCTGGCAGGGAAAATACTATAACCTGCCCTCGATGCTCTTTTGAAATATCTGTTAAAGGTAAGAGAGATCTTTTTTATGTCATAAAATGTAATTTATGGCAGGGGTTTTCAAACTGTTAGTCGGTGAAGTTTAGAGAAAAACTATAACTTTAACTAAATACATTGTATTAAAATAAAAATAGATTAAATCAATTTATTTATTTGTGTGAAAACATGAATGCATGATCTTACAACACTTAAAGTTAAAAAAAATGATTTATGAATCAAAAATGATTTAGCTGTATGGTCTCTCTCTCAGAATTCACAGGTCAAGTTATTAAGTCGTCGGTGGTGTTTAATCCTTTGGATCAGAGCTCTATTGCTAGTGACAGTGTGGAAGATGCTGAATTAAAGGGACCAGTGGTAAGTTATTTCAAAAAACAGTAATTAATTCTTTAAAACTATTAGTTCTATTTGTAATGATCATTCTGACCAGTTTCTCATTTTCTGCAAATGTTTCATTAGATTGACAGGAAATGTTCTCGCTGTAATAAAGAGGGAATGGTGTATCATACAAGACAGATGAGATCTGCAGATGAAGGGCAGACAGTCTTCTTCACATGTATACACTGCAGGTAATTATGCACCCTAAAGGGATAGTTCACCTAAAAATGAAATGTTATCACTTACTCACCCTCTTTTTGTTCCAAAACTGTATGAGTTTCATTCTTCTGTTTAACACAAAATAAGATATTTGGAAGAATGTCAGTAACCAGACAGTTGACGGCACCCATTGACTTCCATAGTTTGAAGAAAAATACTATGGAAGTCAATGGCTACAGCCAACTGGCTGGTTACTGACATTCTTTAAAATATCTTATTCTATGTTAAACAGAAGAATGAAACTCATACAGGTTTGGAACAACATGATGGTGAGTAAAAGTGGGTGATTTATCCCTTTCTCCCACAGACATTGTTTTAAGTGATTATAATTGCCACCAGTTCAGTCTGTCAGTGTACTGACAAGAATAAATATATTCATTTAATTTCTCTGTTACAGGTACCAAGAAAAGGAGGATTCATGAGAAAATTACCTTTGCTGCTGTTGTTGTCTTTTACAGTTATTGATTGAATTTAAATAGTATTAAATATTAAAGATGTTTTTATTTGTTCACAATGTTAATTAATAATAAAAAAATATAAAATAAAAATAATGTGTGAGTCCTTTTTTGCAGGAGTTTATATTATACAGTTTACGTTTATAATAATTAAAAAAAAGAGTCATGCACAAAAACACCGAATATAAATCCATATTTTTATATAAAAGTTTACACAAAACTGCACTTTACCGAAAAGTCTCCCCCCATGCATGGCACGTGAACCAATCAGACTGCCCGTTTCGGCGAGCACGTGACCATTCAACATGGCTTCACGCAGTATCCACACTGGATCGCTTGTGAAGAAATGAAATGATGCATATCATTTAATGCACTGTATTGTGCTCCTTGACACACGTAAAACATGGTAAGCCTACTGACTATATATTAAATATATATTTAAAGCGAAAGGTACATAGTAGATATTTTTTATTTTGTTTTGGAATGTTTCCTAAATCCATTAACGATAGGACAAAAGCCTCAATGATTCTGTTTATGGTGTCTTCACGGTATTCGTTGATGTGTACTTCTGTTTTTAAATGCATTTAGTTTATTTTTTATCCATTGAACGCCTCAGTCACAGCTTCCTATGTGCTAAAAATGTCTGAACAATTTGACTTTATATATATATATATATATATATATATATATATATTAACACTATGACGCTGTATTTAACATTCATAATTATTTATTATTACTAGTTTTAATGCTAGTCATCTTATGCATCTTTTTGCTAGTATCTCCTTATTCATCTGTCTGCCTGTTTACAGATGAAGTTTCGGGTCCAGCTGCAATGCAAGAACTTGCATGAGTACCTAAAGGAATTGAGCCCTGAGGTCCTCGACAGGCTCTACAATCACCCTGCAACATGCCTGGCTGTATACAGGTCCATCATGCTTTAGTGTTTAAATATACATGCTATTGACATGTATGAATGTTATTTGAGTAGATGATAATATATCAATGAAGTGACAATGTAAGTGACATTTTTACTTTTCAAGCCACAACATTTCTTACAAAGACGCCTGTGACCGTTTTGAATTATAACACAACAGTTTTAGTGCCACTTTGTTTATCTAAACTAATAACATTCACAAAATTCATATGTGGCATAATTGGTCAAATACTTTTCAGAGCCCATTATATTATACAAGGCCATAACTTGTTGCATAGTTGGGAGTATTGAGTTATTGGTCTTAAAATAATTAAAGGATTAAAATGGATTTAAGAGAATAACAAGTATGAATTGCAGAAGTTCCAGGTTTATTGTAGTTATGATTATGAAGTAATCAATTTAAACTATTTACAAATTAAATAAAAATGCAAAATATTTCTTGTCTGGTCATATTCGGTTATGGATTACATGAATCATTTACATAACATTGTGTATTTTCTGTTCAAAACAGTGAACTTTAATTTTAAAAAGTTCAGTAGGTTGCATCCTCTTGATATTTCTGTCGGTCATGAGAAATTTGGCCATTTTTGGGGGGACTTATCCCCTTCAATGCCTGTGGTGGTTATGGTCGTGATATAATACTAAATCTCTCATATTTGCATACAGGGAACTTCCAGCTTTGGGAAAGAATTACGTGATGCGAATGCTGTTTTTAGACCACCCCCTTCCACAGGCTGCAGTTGCACTGTGGGTTAAAAAAGACAGTCAAAAGTAAGTACAATAGTAAGTCATTCAAATCATTATATTATATTTGTGAAGGATCATGTGACACTTCAGACTAAAGTAATGGCTGCAGAAAATTGTTCATCAGCATTGCTATCATAGGAATAAATTACATTTTAAAATATATTAAAATAGAAATCAATAATTTCAAACAATTTTATGGATTGTACTGCATTTTTCATCAGATAAATGCAAGTTTGGTGACCATAAGCCATATTTTGCCCTTTCACAGAGTGTGTAATTTGTTTTTGGAGTCTACTAGAATATATTTTCATGCTTGAATGTTATATTTTACATTGTTTCAGTCTGCCAGGAATGCTCTGTTTAGTTTCTGTCTCTATGAAAACCCCCTTCTCTGATTGGTCGGCTGGACTAGAGTGTTGTCAGTGTTTCAGTTGTCATGCCCCTCACTATAACCACAAGCTTCAACGCTATTAACGCAACTCAACAAGGCCTATGGCCTTTTTTTGCATATGTCTTTAGTGGGAATTATTTATTTATTAATTTTTAAATGTATTCTAGAATTTATTCTATTTATTAATTATTAAAATTAGGGATATTGTAACATGCACGCCTTTGGAAGAAAACTCGAGTCATTTCAGGGAGTTCAGAAACAGTGATTACTGATATAGAGAATAACTCCCTTTGGAGTGACTTTGTGTTTTGTAAACATGTAAACCTTTTTCATGCTGAATTAGCAACATTACACACTAAAGAAAGTTGAAAGTCATCTTAATTTTTTTTTACTGACCACAAATTTTGAACGGCAGTGTCATAAATCTCTTTCTTGTATGTTGTTGTCTTTGCTTTTCCAAGAGACCACGATCAGTGTGTGTCTGTGTTAACCGGGCTACGGCTCTGGCACAGTCAGCAGCTTCAGGGTGGACTCCAAGGCTTTGTGCTCAACCCTGTGTTTAAAGACAACCTGAGAATTGCACTGCTAGGCGGGTGAGGATCACAGTTTTAATTGAGAACCGTCATACTGTTGCAGCAGACGGTTCACATTCTCTTTTATCCTTGCCAGTGGTAAATCGTGGGCAGATGAGGGCGGCAACCTGGGTCCCGATCGCCATGCGAGGGATGTTGAGAGTCTCGACCGGTACGCCATGGAGCGTTGGGAGGTCATCCTTCACTTCATGGTGGGCTCTCCTAGCGCAGCCGTCAGCCAGGATCTGGCCCAGCTCCTCATTCAGGCTGGGCTCATGAGGAGGTAGAGCGCAACATCCCTCCATTGATGCACCAAAGTAGGTCAAATATGATGGGAAGACCAAAAAAAAAAATCTTGATCTGATTTTTCCCCTCTCAGCGAGGTTGGTGATGCTCCTTGTATCACATCAGCAGGGTTTCAGTTCCTTCTGCTGGACACGCCATCTCAGCTGTGGTACTTCACCCTGCAGTACCTCAAAACAGCACAGGTCAGTCTGTACATTAAATATCCGCTACATTATGATGATACGTGTGTATCAAACACCAATTGTACCCAGTTGAAATTATAAAGGACATTTATGTGCTTGCCAAAAGTGCAATAACAGCGAGAAGCTTCCGAGTCCTGTCAGAGAAAGATAAACAACTTAGCATGGCACAACTGTGTGTGTTTGCCTTTTTAACATTGAAAAACATGGCTTTCTTTTCGGTTTGCTAACTTTACTTAACAAAAGTTGAGAATTTTAAGCTGCATCCCAGAATTGTGTCTATCATATGAAAACATACGGCCTCATGCCAATTCCTTCAATAACTAGAAATCTGGATAAGAGAACTTTGCAAAGATTGCTGGGTTAGAGAGTTCCTGCACACAACACTGAATATGAAAGTAGTTGGATAAGAATGTTTGCATGGCAATTGCTCTTCTGTTTGGTGAA